ATTGGCAAAAATTAATCAGCCTATTTCTTTGTTAGTGAAAATGATGGTTCAGAAAGATCAGTACCAAGATTAGGAATCTAAACAGGGACCCAGGGTCCCTGTTCTGATCACAGGGAGGGGTCTGCCACAGATCCCCCAGATGACAGGCAACCACAGTCTTCCAGTCCTCACATGCACATTGCATGGCCTTATAAATTATGGGACATGTGTATTTCGGGGTCACCTTTTCTGAAACTACCCAGACTTCTCATCCCTACAGGGCACCCCTGCATCAGGACTTTAAAAGGCAGGGAGCTCTGTCTTCCCATGTGGTCCTGGCAAGCATGTGCACCCAACAACAGTGTTCTGGGTAGATGCTGAGGAGTACACCTGCCCTTTAGCAGTAGCTTCTTCTTTTTTTAAAAAAATCATTATTATTATTTTGTGTGTGTGTGTGTGTGTGTGTGTGTGTGTGTGTGTATGAGTGTGTATTACCTGCATGTATGTAAGTACACCTGATCGGATTCCCATGGAACTGGAGTTATAGATGGTGCTGGGAACTGAACCTGGGTCCTCTGCAAGAGCAGCTAGTGCTCTTAACCACTGAGCCATCATCTCTCCAGTCCCTGTCCCCTTTGAAGTTTCTAATAACCAAGATGCATGTTTCAGATATCTTAATTCAATCACTGACATTGGCCCATTTCTCGGTGGGCCCTGACTGTTCCGGTCCAGTGAGCTGAGTCAGAGAGGCAGGTCTGTACAAAGCACAGGAGACCCTTTCCAGCATTCCTGTACCACTTCATTCCTGTTTTCTATCTGTGTGCCTATCCAGTCTCACCATGGCTGGAAACTGGGCTGGGACACAGTGGGAAAGTGGGGAGCATCAGACTGCAGGGCAGGGGAGTTGGGCTGGCTAGTCCTTCTCAGGGTAACCTGTATCAGTTTAAGCAGAGCTAGGCTTCAAAACAGGCAAGCTTGAGGCACAACTGAACTGACCAGGGTCCTCAGAATCTCTGATTACTATGTGGTTTATAGGTGGACCCCAACATTGCCTCAAGGGAAATTCAGAAAGCGTCCAAAAGATCCAAAGCACCCACACGGGGGGGGGGGGCAGCTGTGTGTGCAACAGGCATTTCTGAGCACTGTGCTAGAGCCCTCAAGGGGTCAGAGCGGCTGATGGGCGTCCTCCAGAAGCCAGACTGCTAGACCTAATAGGGTGCTTTCCCCTGTTAAATCAAGTCATTCCAATTTCAGTCTTTAACATTTTTGCAACTTGCTTCCAGAAAAACAAAAACAAAACAAAACAAACTAAAAACCAGAACGTTTTCACAGTTCCTCGAGGAAATGGTAGATTGCAGGGGTAGGGTATGGGAAAGGTAGAAGTTTAGTCTGGACTACCACATGAGAGCCGAAGAAAGCATAGTAAAAAAAGAAAAAGAAAAACACGAGGAAGAAAGAAAGAAAGAAAACCCCAATAAATTACCAGAAGGAATCCCTTGGGCAAATCTGGGGATCTATGGATTGCAACCCACAGAATGAGACAGGAATCTATGAATCAATCTTGACAACAAAGAATTAAGTAAAAGGAAAAGTAATCGAGGCAGAAAAGAAAAAAATAAGTGTCCATCATAAGATGAGATGAATCTACCATATACATGAAATATTATTCAGCCTTAAAAAGGAAATTATGACACATGCTGAAAACATGGGTGAAATTTTAAGATACCATGAAGCAACCCAGACACAGAAGAAGGAATATTGTGTGATTGCACCCTAATGATGTAGTCAAACTCAGAGACAGAAAACAAATTGCAGGGCTGGGGTGAGGACAGGGGCTTGGCAGGAGGGTGAAGAGTTCTGAAGTAGACAGTGGCGACTGCACAATATGTGTGACAAACACAAATGACTGGACTCTGAACCGGTTAAAAAAGATAAAAGCCCACAAGGATCAGTGATGCAGAATTTACTTCATTTTCACACATGTAGGTAAAACTCACTGGGACTCAACTTTTCTTCCACAAACATATCTACCTAGGCCTCTGCAGAGATCAGACAGACACCTGGCCCTCTGTGGGGTCAGACAGATACTAAACAGAAAATCCTAGATGGTGGGATCTTGTTATTGTGACCAAGTTGGGGTCTAATTTGCTTTCTGTGTGATTAATCTGTGTTTTAAAAATGTGATTTATTTCCTGTGACAGGTCCATAATCTCTTATCTATGAGTCTGAATTCTAGAAGGCTCTGGAAATTAAAAACAAAATTTTATAAGTTAATGTAATTAACGTTAATTGATCTATACAATTAAAATAGTGAAATGTATGTATTCAGAACATTTGTTTTCAGACCCTGACTTGAACTTCCCTCAAGGGCTCATGGCCAGCACAGGGTCATCTCTGTTATTCTACTTAGAATGAATCCATGTGAAGATTGCTGCAAAAATATTACTGTGCCTGGCAAAGGCATTTGTCTGAGCGCTTCCTGTGGGTATAGTAGACTGTATTTCATGAGCACTATGTCTATGCCAACAAGACCTGAGCACGCAGGAGTTCAAACAAATCTGGCCCTGGAATTTTTGAGGAAGGGGTTATGCCTTTCTACAAATTTTACCATATCAGATGTTAGTCCAGTCTCTCACAATCTCTTACCATTTACAACAAATCAGAAGTTCCACCACGGCCACTTACCAGCCTGTTAGCAAACTCTCAGCATATGGCCTCCTCCACCACACCTTTGCTTCCTGCATTTTCAATGACTCATGCTCAACTGTGGCCCAAAAATACTAAAAGGAAAAATCTCAAAACAAACAATTCAGAGGTAGTAAATTACAGAGCTACCCAGTATGTGGCTCCCTCACTTATCTAGTGTGTACATGTGGTATATGCTACCCACCCGTGATCATCCCATCAGCACTGGGGGCTTGTGCTTCACCCTTGTTGTACTTCATTGCATCCTGACAACAGTGGTGCTGCCAATTCAGAGATGCCAACACAAGCCACACGGGAAGTTGGGCATGGTGGCATGCACCTGTGATCTCAGCACTTGGGAAGATGAGGCAGGAGGATTATGAGTTTGAGGCCAGCCTGAGGTACACAGGAAGACCAAATCTCCAAAAAAACGTTTTAAAGTCACAAAGTAACACTTCATGTCAACAACAGTGAGTACCATACAGTAAGACACCTCGGGAGAAAGTGAGTCCCAGAGCTGGCACTACTACGTCCTGCCAGAGCCTCTCCACCCAACAGCTGCTGTTCATCCTTACTGCACCTAACTTAGAAACTGAACTGTAACACAGGTTCAAGCCCACCCAGGTTTTCTGGTGCCTAAGTTTACTGGAACATACTTCGATGGCTAAGACAGACTACTGTTCTGGCCTTGGATGGTGTTGCCTTAAATAGCATCTTTGAAAATGCTAAACTTTATTATTGTTATTGTGTGTGCTCATAATGCATGTATACGTGTATGATGTGTGTGCATGATGTGTGTATATGTATGTGCATGTATATGATCCATGTGCATGCATGCAATAAGTATGTGCATGTTTGTGTATGCACATGCATGATGAATGTGTGCATGATGTGTGTGCATGTGTGTATATGTGTGCACATGGCATGTATGCATGTATGTGTGCATGTGCACAAGCCTGGTGTGTGTGTGTGTGTGTGTGTGTGTGTGCAGGTGTCCACATGGTAGACAGAGAACAACTTTTGGGAATTGGTTCTTTCCTTCCACTGGGTTCTGGGGATGAAACTCAAGTCATCAGGCCTGTGTGGCAAGCTCAGAGATCACTGAGCTATCTCTAGCCCAGCATCCTGGTTAAAGATGTGCTTTATCTCCACTGTAGAGTTGAAGGTCTGTGAGGCATGCTCATTGCCAAAGGAGAGATTCTGTAGGGTCATCAAGATGTTAATGGACTAAGCTGAGACCTGTGTGTTGGATCATCAGAGAGATCAAGAGAAGGTGAGAAGTCTTCAACAGCCTTACTGTGTGACCAGCCCTCACCCTTGCCCACTGTCCTCCCAGCTCTATGCTGATACTGGGAGATGAGTCTTTGGGAATGGTGAGCTGACAGGGGACACAGCTGTGCAAGAGCACAGCATGGCTTTGTCACCTGCCATGTAGATTCAGCCAGGCCACCTGTTACCACCATCTACTTACTAATTTAGCAAAAGTGTCACTCTGGTATAACTGTCTGCAGCTCCCAGTTATCCACTTGCCAAAGGCCCCTGAGATGACAGAACCTAGAAGTGGGCACAGATGTGAGGCAGGACCTCTGTCCTTTATGAACCCCAATGGCAACTACCACCAAAATCTTCTCTGCCTTCCACGGCAGCAGAGTAAGGTGCACCAAGAAAACAATTCTGTCTTTGAAAGCACTTTCAAAGACATCAGCTATATGTAATTAAAAAAAATAATAAGTTAAAACTAAAACAAATTAGACACAAGGGAACATTTTCCCTAAGCAGAGAATGCTGGGCAATAAAATTTCCATTTTGTAATCAAGAAATTAAAAGGTAATGGCACCACATTTAAATCAAGTGATCAGAATCAACACACAGGAAGTGTAGACATCCATTCTGAGCCTCTGGGTATGGAAGTTATCAGTTGGGACAGTTGACAGAGTGGAATATGGATGACAGAAGTAAAAAACTGAACCAATGTTAAATTCCCTAATTATGATCACTGAGGTTAGAGAAGAGCCTTTGTGCTTAAATGTGTGTGTGTGTGTGTGTGTGTGTGTGTGTACTAAAGAGTGTATAGGCACGGTGTCTCTTACATGTCTCAAACCATCCAGAAAGAACAAATGTGCATACAGACTACAGTCAATACCGACAGCAGTGACAGCAGCAAAGCCGCCTGAGAGCAAGTGCCACGCATGCAGCTCTTCTGGAAATCTGAAGTGACGTCCAGAAGGGACTCCCTTGCCCAGGATGGGCACTGTGGAAGGTGCCCAAGGCCCCCAGTATCCTGTGGACTCATCACTGCAGAAGGGGCCCTCAGCCCTGGCATCCTGCAGACTCACCATCCTCCTGAGAATTCTCAGTAGAAGTTTTTGTTCCTTTGGGTCCTCCTTGGTTGCCAGGAGACCAGCAAAGATTTCCAGGTTTTCGGGAGACAGGCTATCTGGGTCTTCCCCTCCGTACAGCTGGACCAGGATGGACAGGCACTTGCATGAGACCTCAGAGATCTCATGGTCCTCACTGGGAATCTGGAAATGAACGAACAGGGCTGTTTAAGTCCTAGTGCATGTGATGTGGTGTTGCTCAACAAGTCCAGTCCAGATCAGGTTATGTTGGGAGCACAGACCTGAGGAGGAAGCTGGACTAAACATTCTATTGACTGCAACTTAAAAATTATTTATTTATGTTTGTTTTTATTTTGTGTATGAGTGTTTTGACTCCATGTATTTAAGTGCACCTGTGTGTGTGCAATGCCTATGGAGGCCAGCAGACGGTGTCAAGTCCCTTGGAACTGGAGTCATGACCTGTTGTTAACTACCATGTGGGTGCTGGGAATGGCACCTGGGTCCTCCGGAGGAGCAGCCAATGCTCTTAACCTCTGAGCTGTCTCTCCAGCTTCTTGATTGCAGCTTTTTAAAAGCTATACTGTGCCTCAAACAAGGCTAATCAGACAAAGTCAGGAGATCTGTGCTCTTCTTTACAATCTGCAGAAAAGTGTGGCCTACAGCTAGAAGGCATCAGGACCCAACTTATGCATGTGTTCTTATCTATTTATGGGGGGTGGGGTCAATGGGCACAAAACGTTTTGAGTTTTCAGATACTCCTCCCCTCCCACTCTCTGTTTTCTTTCTTTCTTGAGACAGGGTCCCACTATGTAGCCCTGGTTGGCCTTACCCTCCCAAGTGCTGGGATTACAGTTGTGTCCCAACATATCTCTTTAGATTCTTAATTACCATTAACCTGCTGGGAAATCTCCATTTTATAAAGGGCATTAAAGTTTACTACTAAGGTATTTTTTAAAAAACTACTATAAACCTATTATTTTCCCTAATTCTCCATAGCAAGTTCTTTATCAATATATAGAAAAGCTACTTACTTTTGTGTGGTGATTTTGTAACCTGCTACTTTGCTGATAATTTACTTCTTTGTATTACCAAGAAATATTCCACAGGTACCACTGTTATGCACCTGTTAAAGAAAACCTGAGTTGCTTCTGATTTGAAGATATCCCATGTAGAACCAGTGTGAATATTTGTACAGGTTTAAAAAAACTAAGCATTGGTGTTCATTCATCTGGGATGAATGCCCAGCAACACAGCTGCCAGCAACCCAGGGAAGCTAGGATGGCCGCCAGGTTGTGTGGGGGTCTTAGGCTTGGCTTTTAAAGAAACTATCCCAATCAGTCTCTACAGTAACAGTGTCATATGTAACTACTGTGCACCCCTAGCTGGATGTGTGAGGGCTAGCCTTCATGGATACACACCAGCATTTGGTATCAGCGGTGTTTATTTTAGCTCTTCTCATAGGCAGGTGGCAGCCTCTTGTAGTACTTCTAATTTGCATTTCACTAATGACAACTGTCAGTGAGCATCTTTGCATGTATCCATTCTGTGCCCTTTAGTAACTAGATATTTGTTGGTATTTCAAAGTTCTTTAATTATTATAGGTACAACGCTCCCCTTTCTTCAGCTCTGTGGTTTTTGTAAGTATGTCTTTTTCCCAGTCTGGGAATTTGCCTTTCTCATCAACTATACTAAGTCTCTAGCAGAAGATGCAAAACAATTTTGAGGAAATCCAATTAATTGACTTTATACTCTGAAGGACTGGACTTTGGTGTCAAGTCAAAAAATTCCTTCTCAAATCTTCAGGCCTGAAGATCCTGTCCTATATTTTTTCTAAAGCTCGTATAGCTTTATAGTTTACATTTAACTTCACCTAATTGGAGTTAATTTTCACATAGACTTGAGGCTTGGGAAGAGGATTTTGTTTCCTGTGAGATTTTCTCTTTTGTTTTGGACGCTGAACATCTAGTTGTTCAGCACCATTCCTTAAGATGCATTTATTAAAAGTCAGCTGGGTGGGGGGAGGCTGGACAGATGGCTCAGAGGATAAGAGCACTTGCTGCTCTTGCAGAAGACCTGAGTTTAGCTCCCAGCACCTACATTGGGCAGCTCACAACCACCCGTAACTCCAGCTCCAGGGGAGTCAATGCCCCTGGCTTCCACAGGCACTGCCCCCACATACACAAAATTAAAAAAAATTATTTTATTTATTATTTTTATTTTATGTGCATGAGTGTATTGCCCACATGTATGTAAGTATACCCATGTTGTGAAATGCCTTCAGTGGTCAGAAAAGGGTGTCGGATCCCCTGGAACTGGAGTTACAAATGGTCGTTCGACACCATGTGGGTGCTGGGAACTGAACCCAGGTCCTCTGTAAGAGCAGTCAGTGCTCTTAAACCACTGAGCCATCTCTCTAGCCCCAACATACATATAATTTAAAATAATAACAAATCTTTAAGAACTGAGCAGGGTTTGTTTCCACTGCCAGTGGCACACTGTCTTCCTACTACTAAGCTTTAACATATGTGGAGTTTTCCCCCCTCCTCCCGCAGGTTTCTTCTTTTTCAAATACTATTTTAGCTGTTTTAGGGCCTTTGCTTTTCTTTTTAAATTTCTGAACAAGCCTGACTCTCTATAAATAATCCTACTGGACTTGCATTGGAACTGCATTAACCCTGTGTGTATCACTGTGGTCAGAATCAACATTTCAATGCACTGAGACTCCTACCCAGGAGCAACTGTCTGTCTGTTTACGCCACCTTTGATTTCCTTCCCTGGAGATTTGCAGTGTTCACAGTGCATGTCCTAATCAGGTGCTGAGGTATACTTCATGTTCTCAGCTTCTGGTTAGCATACAGAAACATGATCGAGCTTGAAGATTTATCAGATATAGCTAGGACAAAAGTTACACATACATGATTTGCACATTTTGATGCATTTGAATATTTTCTCTTTATTGTTTTTTTTGTTTTTTGGTCTTTTTGAGACAGGGTCTCGCTAGGACAAAAGTTACACATACATGATTTGCACATTTTGATGCATTTGAATGTTTTCTCTTTATTGTTTTTTTTGTTTTTTGGTCTTTTTGAGACAGGGTCTCCCTGTAGCCCCACCTGGCCTGGAACTCACTATGTAGACCAGGGATCTACCTGCCTCTGCCTCCCAAGTGCTGGGATTTATTTACTTTTTAAAAAATATTTTATTTGTTATTTTTATTTTTTTTATGCGTGTGTATTGCCTGCATGTAGGTAAGTGCACCTGTGTCATGCAATGGCATGGAGGACAGAAGCTGTCAGATCCCCTGGAATGGAGTTACAGGCAGCTGTTAGCTGACATGTGGGTGCTGGGATTCGAACCCAGGTCTTCTGCAAGAACAGTCAGTGTTCTTAACCGCTGAGCCATCTCTCCAGCCCCAAAGCTGGTATTTAAAGGTGTGTACTACCACATCTGGCTTATTGCTGTTGTATCTTGCAGTCTTGATGAAATAACTTTATTCTAGGAGTATTTTCACAGGTCCTGTAGACATTTCCACACAGACAATCATATCACCTCCACGCACGTATAGTTTTATTTTAGTTTACTTCTTCCTTTCCTAAGAGAATACCTTTCCTTCTTTTCTCTCCCAGTGCACTAGTTAGAATTTCTAGCATTGTATCAACCATGAATGGCAGCAGCAATACCTGGACTTTGCTCCTATCAGGGGAAAGGACTGAGTCCCTCACTACTAAATATTACATTGGCTGTACATTTTTGTAGATGTATTTTATAAAGTTGAGGTGGTTTTCCATCCAATCCTCTTGTGATGAGAAAAAAATATATATATATACATGCATGTATTGCCTGCATGCCTGTGTTGTGCAATGCCTATGGAAGACAGAAGAGGCTGTCAAAGCCCCTGGAATTGGAGTTATAGACAGTTGTTAGCTGCCATGTGGGTGCTGGGATTTGAACCTGGGTCTTCTGCAAGAACAGTCAGTGTTCTTAACCACTGAGCTATCTCTCCAGCCCCTGTGATGAGAATTTTTATCAGAAATGAGTGCTGGATTTTGTCAATTACCTTTTCTGTATTGACTGTATTGATTGATTATATCCCACTTTCTATAACACCGCTTACATGACAGGCTACTTTAACTGATGTTTGCTGAGCAAGCCTTGAGCATCTGGAAGTTCTGTGCTGCATGTCCTGTCCATGTTTCTACACATTGCTGTGTTCCATCTACTAAGATCTTGCTGAGGATTCTGGAATCTAAGTTCATAAGAGATCCTGCTCTCTAGTGTTTTGTTGTGTTGAATGGTGGTGGTGGTGTGTGTGTGTGTGTGTGTGTGTGTGTGTGTGTGTGTGTGTGTGTGCGTGTGTGCGTGTCCTTGTTCTGGTGTTTTTCTTTTGGTTAGAATTTCTGGTAGTTCTTTGCCTGAGCTTAGTACCGAGGTTATACCACCCTCAGAAGATGGACTGGGAAATACTCTACTCTTTTTTCATTTTTGCAAGAAATTATATAAAATTGTCCTATCTTCTTCAAATGTTTGGTACAATATTCTAGTGAAATTATCTAGGCTTGGAGATTGTTTCTTAGGAGCTTTTAGATTAGAAGTTCAATTTCTTTAATGATTATAGAACGATTCAAGTGTGTTCCTCTTGGTTGCATTTTTGTAGTTATAAAAGAACTGATTAATTTCTTTATGAGCATAAAGTTGTTCAGAGAAGCCCCATATGGCCTTTTCAAATGGCAATGCGTGCATCAGCGTCTCCCACTCCATTCCTTTTTCCAGTGATTCCTATTTTTCTCTAACTTTGTCAGTTTGCTGTAAATTTTCAATTGTTTTCAGTTAACTTTCTATTCTATTGATTTTCTGCATTAATTACCCTGCTTTTTATTTAATTGGTTTCTACTTTTAGTTTCGTAATTTCCTTTTATTTGCCTTGCATTACTTTTCTATTATTACTTACTTTATTTCTAAGATAACACACAAATACTAGGTTTCATTATGGCATGTCACAGCACAAGTGTTCCATTATTCTGTTTTTCTGTTTCTCTTCTACCTTAAGATTCCTTTCCTCCCATAGTCCTCTTTCTAGTTTCACCTCACAGACACACAGATACACACACAAAGAAACACAGACACAGACACACACATACACACACACACACACACACACATAGATGCACACAAACACACACATG